GCCAAGGAAGACATGTTGTATTTCTAATTTCTCTGGTTATCTAGCATGTACTGGAAAAATCTAGATAGCATTTTCTGTGTAATTCGGAAACTAAATCTTCTTATACAATTTGTTGGGATCATAATCCTACCTGTTTGTACTTCAATGAACAGAGTAGTAACATGTATCAGTGCAAATACTAATATTGAAACTACATATGTGGAACTTCAGACAAGTAGTAAAAGCAGTTACATTTCAGCATCAGCTAATACCTACATTGGTGTTTTGTTATCAATTACATATCAGTTGTCATTTGCTAGCAGTCAACATTATAGTAGCCATGCTTTTCTGTTGTCTGTGTGCTGCACTTGCGTGGTTCAGCTATCCAGGTAGCATATATGGATTCGTGCCATGGGGGATTAGGATGTCCATTCTCTCCTCAGTCTCTGATGACTTATCATATCGAAATCCTTCTTTGTGTATTGAAGATTTAGTATTAATATATTATCATTTAGGGATCAACATCATACTGTAACATAAATAAATACTGTTAACTCGCCAAATATTCATATTTACCGGTAGTGTCCTCTCCTGAAACGACGTGACATTCACTTTGTTTTAAAGGAAAATAAAACATGATTACAAAAGATCATTAGAAAAATACCCGGATGTACCATAAATTGTATAAATCATTGTAATGTTAAGGGCATGCTAGCAGTCGGCTTGTTTGCCGAGAATGAACCGTTGGAGAATACAACCCAAGGACGGGCTGGAGTGTTTCACGGGGGAGGTTTCTACTTGATGGGAATACAAATGCTCTCGATTGTTTGTCTAGTAGCGTGGAGTGCAGTGACCTCATTTCTACTACTTATGGTAAGACATAGTTCACGTATTTCTGTTAAACACCTGAATCCTTTGTATTTATTATGTTTTACAGTCGGGATTCCTTTCAATATACTAACGTTACTTTATGGGAATTTGTTAAAGCTGAACTAATGAAAGCCCAATTATGTAATATCGTGATTGTACACCTTGAATTACTTATTTCCACATTTCATCATTGCTATCAGTCAACACATATTCACTGTCATTACAGGTTATCAAGTACACAGTGGGCCTTCGTCTGAGTGAGGAGGAGGAGCGTCTTGGTGCGGACATCGTCGAACACAACATTGGTGCGGATATGTATGGAGGTCAGTTCCTTGGTAGACCGGACAGTGTCTATGCACTGGGTCGACGAGACACGCTTCTGTCATGTAACCAGGTCCCCAGCGGCGAAACAACAGCAGGCGACACCAACGACTCCACTAGACGCCGGGACTCTGTCGCTTCCAGAAAGTTAAAGACCGTATCTCCCGGGCCGGTTCAACAGCAACGCAGACCGCTTCGACGGCAGGACAAAGTAGTGCCTCATAGTATACCAGGCCAGTGTATTCTGTACCAGTAAGCGTCAGCCAGTCTTTGCACAAGTACCAGGCCATGTTGAGCGTTTAGAAGTCATCGGATTTCATATCATTGATAAAACAATGTACCAGTATCGTATGGATTAATGACTGTCAGTTGTGAACTTATTCAACAGTTTTCCTAACGTTGTTTATAGAATTGACCGTTTTCAGAGAAAATGACAACGTTTTACACAACCAGTCACGAATCTCACCGATTCAATGTAACATTACGTTTGTACATTCACATAGAGGACGTTTTTCCGAAGTTGGTCCCGCGTCTCTTTGTTTTTGCCAATAGAACGGTCTATCAAGAATGATGAATGTCATTAGGGCCACACAGTAGTCTGAGAGGTCCATCAACGCAATGATGTCA